CTATAACTATTACAATTCTGTATGTTCTGAATTCATATTTATTCACTGGAATGACGAAAGCAATGTTGACTTCACTTTAATTCGTAATGAATTGAAGACAGAAGAAATGCATTTTACCTTAATACACACATCTGTAACAGTATCCGAAATCGGAAGTCATCAGTTGCAAGTTTGTTGATAATAGAAATTAAAAATTATTGAGGAATTTTTCTTCAAATGTTTGGCGTGTTCTGTTCCTGAAAGATTTACTAATATTCTGGAGATTTTTTTCAAGTTCTTCGGCCTTTTCCTTAGGGAAATTTTGTTTCTTATTTGCTGCTAAAAAATGGCGTCTGATTCAGTCAATGATTTTGATGGAACTAAATGAAAACGTGATAAACTAATGTCTGATATTTACAGGCTCCCGCTAGACGGTGTACTCGAGCGTTGCGATCGCGAATTGCGAAAGTCGTTAGAAAATATAATCTCGAACTCAAACATGGCAATTGAAATGTGTAGTACGCGTCTACCGCAACTTTTAATACCGTGCATATTTTAAGCTTGTTAGCATTTTTAAATTTGTATTACTTTTTTAAAGTTCAGTGCCATAAATATAATTTTAGATTGAACTCGAAATTTAAATGCAAAATTCTGCGTATTCAAACTTTTCCGTTATTCTTACTATTGTAGCGCCCTCTTTGTATCATTTTTAGTTTCAAAGTTTGATGACCACAGATGTCAATGGACATAAATTGTTGCTCTATGTGGTATTTTTGAAGACGAAATTCATATTTCCGCGCTAAGCGATAGTCGTTGACACGATTTATTTGTTTTTATTTTGAATAGATTTCAAATTTTGTTTACCAATTGTATTTTTTCTTCTTAAAGCATTATAAAATGAAAATCATTGCATCGTCCTCAATTTATAGGTGGGATTTTAATTTCAGTACAATTTTGATCGTATTTAGGTTACAAAATCTTGTCTTAAATTTAAATTTGCATTATAATTTTAAAAACTTACAAAAATATTATTTACTTAATTTATTCAGTTATGAACTGTTTATATTATTTTTAAGAACTTATAAAAGTGTCTTATTTTGATAATGAGATTTTTGACAACTTAAAATTTGTGCTACACAATCAGGTATGCATTGTATAGATATCTGTGTGAAATAAATTTCAAAAAATCATTGAATGATCTGCTCATAATAAATAGGGTGACCCGGGGTAATTCACGATAACTCTGTTTTTGGGATAAATAATGATCACTTAAGTTTTATTTAAAAAAAAATTATTTTTTTTTAATTCGAGACATGAACAAGAATACTTGTACACTTCACTAAAGTATAACTACATTTACTTGATAATAGTTTTTTGTTTAATCTAACAATATAAGCATCTTTTAAACTGCTTTCTGTATTTTCCATTTCAAAGATGGGTTTCAAAATGTGCACATTTCTGCAAAGATCCCTCTCCTTCTCTTAATGTTAAATGTTTTGAGTTACTTTCTTTTCTTTGATTTTAAAAAAAATGTAAGCTTTTGTTTAATTGTTTCACATCTACTGTAAACATTATAATTGATTATCGGAAACTACATCAAATGTTGCCCCTACAGATGGGGTAATTCCTGATCAATGTCATTTCTTCTTATAAATAGTATAATAAATAGGTAATTGTCTTTTCTTAAATAAAAGTTCACATTTATTAAATGGAACAACTATAAAATATATTTTTACTGTAATCACAAAATTTGTTTTTATCAGTATACCAGACAAATGTGTTTTGATTTGCGCCAGTTCTTGTTTGTCTTACCTTGCTTCTATCTTAATTTTATGTGGGTACATTGTTAGAGTAATTTTTAAGTTTATAAATTAGTCTAATAAATATGGTGAGAAATTAACCTAAAAAGCATACTAAGCTTCTAGAAAGCAAAATTAGTGAATTTCTTTTATTGATTGAAAATGAAAATTTCAGTGTCAAAGCTGTTGACATACCTTACTTAACTTTACACTCTCGCTTAATGAAGTTAAAAAATCCAGCAAAAGTAACCCATGTAGGAACTCTTTCTTATATTCCAGCAGAACATGAGAATGAGTTTGCTGCTTGCCTAAAATGTCTGGCACAATGCAAAGATTTTTGGAAAATTTAAAGTGTTAATCTTTATTTCTGCTTTTAAATAAAGCATTTTATTAGCTGCTTGAACATATCTTTTTGGTTTATTTGTTTGATCTTGATGTCTTATTTGTTAATAATACCATTGTATAATTATTTTTAAATAGCCGCTTTACTATAAAAACTGGTGATCAGTAATTACTCCAGAAATGATCAGGAATTACCCCAGAAATGATCAGGAATTACCCCAGAAATGATCAAGAGAAAGGGTAATTCTTGATCACTAAAATATTAAAATCTTTTAAATTCTAATTAGATTTTCAAACAAAAGAAGGTAGCATTGGACTCATCTCATATAGCCTGAAACTTCCAGTAAATGTTAAAATTCTATCTTGAATAGTTTTTTCACAAAATAGATGTTAGAATTTTTTTATCAGGAATTACCCTAGGTCACCCTACTAGAAATATGTTCAATAAAAATTTATATATTTGGGGAAAATCACTGTAAATATTTTATTTGATTTTATATGAAAATGAAGAATTTAGCTAGTTGATTCTTTCACTAATAAATTGTACTACATGAGTTTTATTACTGGTCTTATAAATTGTTGAGAATATGGATCTCTTAGTACCTATAGTGTAGTTTTCTTTTCTTAGTATCTTATTCAAAATAAACAATTTTGACAATCAGTAATGCTACAACAAAAATTAGGCAACAGACTAGTTTATTTATGTGATTTTATTATGTTACTGCAGTCCAAGTAATATAAATCAAGGTATGAATATACAGAGCAGGTTTATTATATCATTGTGTATAAAAATATAACTTCACTTTTGTACATTTAAGTAGAAACTGCATAACTAGGTATTTATTAGGTTTGTTAAATGAACAGCAAAATTTCCGAGAAATGGTACACGGCGTATAATTTATGTTGTGAATATTCTTTTTTGCAATTATTATTAGATAAAGTATTATATATTAAGTTAGGCACAACTGTACTTTGAAATTAAATATACTAGAAATTTATGTTCAATTTAAAAATTTAGTGTATATTAGCATTGAACCTTAAACCATTAAATAATTAAATCTATGTTATTTAATTTGAAGGAAATAAGTATGTGAAAAAATTTTGTTGTTTTAAACTATTTCAAAAAACATTCTTTATACATTTCTAGCTTTGATACATAAGAAAATAGTGTAATTATTTTTTATTGTCTAGTAGAGCAGATGTGCCAGTAACGGGGACCCTTAAGGAATTTCTCCTAAATAGATTTTATTTAATAGATTTCTGAATATTATTAATTTTTTTTAATTATATTAATCTGTCAACAAAATTCTCATACTCTTTTGTCAAGATGATCAATAAAATCAGTAAATTATAAAAAAAAAAAAAAAAATAAGAGCTGAAATTTAATTTTTGTATCTTAATAAATATATGCTTTTATGGTACTATCAGTGTAAAGCAATAATAAGTACCTTAATGGGTGATATTAATTATAAAAATACACAGTAAACTGAAAATGTATGAAATATGATTTATAGTGCATTCAGTGCTCAATATATACAGCAATCCAATAGTTGATTGAAGTCACTCATTCTTTCCTCCATACAGAGATGCAATATAACGCAAGTCATGTCAAAGTTTAGAATTATATAATAAATAAATTTTGCTTTGAATGAAATCTGCTTCAAGCAAGAAAAGTCATTGTCAGACCGGGATTGGGGAGCCCACGGGGGCACTTGAATGTGGGGTCCTAAAATAATGTTGTTGATTTCGTTATTCAGTGAATTGATTTACAAAATTTATTAAAAATATATATTATTTTTTAACTGCCCTTGTAAATGTTATTCTCTAGAAAACTGAATTTGTGGAAAATAATTTTTTTTGTAGCTCTTAGTTAGCTTATGTACAAAATATGTAACAGGTAACTAGTATGTATTTTTGTTCCATAATTTATAAAAATAAAGATCATGTGTAATTTTGAGTTGAAATACTTTTCGTTTTTTTCCCCCTTTATTTTTTGAGATCTCCCCTCCACCTTTGGATATAATCATTTATGTTGAGGGGCTGTTGAGGCCGACATCACATATGCACATGGTTGAGACGTTATTCTCTATAGTAATCTAAATAGTGATGTGTTTTTGTCTGATTCATTATATGAAGTTGATAGTTCTATAAAAGCATTTTATTCATAATGATATTCATGAAGCAAATTACAATATTCTAAATCTTGAGGTGGCTGCAAGACCAATGGGCTTTGTCATAAATGTAGAGAAAGCAAAATATATGTTATTCTCAAGAAGCAGACTCCTATCTTGAAATTGATTTGAAGAAGTTTTACTTAGGATTAATTATTACTTTAAGAATGTCTCCTGAAATAAAAAACAGACTCTCTCTGGCAAATAGGGCTGAGATGATTTTATTAAATCTAGGTTTCTTTCTAGAAAAAGTTCTTAATTTACAAAACTCATGTCAGAACAGTCTATGCTTCTGAAGCTTGGACAATGACATAACTGGAGGAAAATTGTATCGCAATATTTGAGAGAAAAATTTTGTGGAATATACTTGGTGGTGTAAATGGAAACAATAATTGGTGTAGAAGATTTAACTTTGAATTGTACAAGATTAATGAACAACCTGATACAAAAAAATGAAGTGGATGGCCCACGTGATTCGATACGATGAAATCTTTGTTTTTATTTTTTTAATGCTTTGTAACTTAAAGAGATATGGGGTCCCATAAGTCTTCAAGGAGAGGAAGTAATCACAATTTCAATTCTTTGGAGATATGAACAGCCCAGACATTTTATTTCTAAACATCTGGGTAATTCTCTACATATTGGCTAAAACAATGTTAAATGCTTATTATTATTCTATAGAAAAATAAATAAGTTATTCATTTAATATAAAGTTTGAAGAAGTCTTTATTACATTATCTTATAACTTTGAAGCAATATTTGAAATATTTTTTATAAATTGTTAAACCTATGAGATCTTACTTCTTTCCTCCTGTCGTGCTGCCTACTAATACAAAGCAGGGTTAGCCAAGTGGGCCCACATTGAAAAAACCCACTTAGAACGATAAGTGGGTTTTTTCAACAAAAAAAAAATTTCATTTGACTTAGAAAATCTTTATACCGGTATACTTCATGCTCAAATACTTGATATTTGTAGTGGTATTTATGATAAATATTTATTTAATGAAAATATTGATACATCTTATTGGATAGATATTTGTAAATGTAATATTTTTGAAAATGTTCTTTTTAATGACCTTGATTTTTATAGTCAAAGCATAGAGATTCCACTAGATAATTCTTTTTCTGATGCTTTCGCTAACATTTTATTTTTTTTTAAAGCTAAATATCTTGAGTTTAAGGATTTTAAAGCTTTTAGATATATTGATGATTTAATTGCGACAATAACGATTTTATTTTTAATATTTATCCTAAAGATTTGGTTTTGAAGAAGACTTATGATAATTGCTTAAATGTTGATTATTTAGATTTTAAAATTGATATTGTTATTAAACAAATTAAAATTGGTGTTCATTATAAAAGGAAGGCTTTTAAGTTTGAGGTTATTTTTTTCTGTAATTTTGATACTAATTTGTGCAGTAAAAGTTTCAAAAATTTAGTTTTTTCTCAACTGTCTAGAATTAATAAAATTCACAATAATGTTGAGAGCTTTCAAGAGGCAATAAGTAATTTTTTTAAAAAATTTGGAAAATAATGGCTTTCCTTTTAATTTCTGTAATATTGAATTTAAAAAATGATTAGTTTCGTTTTCTTTTAATAGAGCATGATCAAGTCTTTGCAGAGTTACCCGGGTTAAGCATTTCTACTAATGATGGCTACTGCTTTCTTGGTCTTTTTCTTTATTCTGCCTTCTTCGCAATAAATTAGGGGGGGAGGGCGTTGTTTTTTCGTTAATTACAATTTAGTTGAGGCTTTGTAGTCTGTGGTGTACTTTTATTATTTTCAAGTAAGTTTTTGAACATTGTATTCTTTTGTATTTGGTTTGTGTAATTTCTATTATATTTTCTCTCTACCTGAACTCTTTGTCAAAACCTTTGGGGTACAGAGAGAGCAACTTAGACATTTGTTGTACTTCTCGACAGAAAAGGTTTTGCATTTATGACTTCCGGGGCTGGTACCCTCCTGACAACGTCAGCTTCAATCATATTTTTCATTGTTTTTCTTTATTTTTTTGGTTAATACAAAGAGCATTGTTCTTCGCTGACTTTTCTTTTATCTTCTAAATTAAATACTCGCAGTGTTTATGTGTATTAAAATTATTTTTTGGTCTCGAAATGGGTTTCTTATAATAATTCCTGTCATTCACTCACTCATAGAGATTCAGATCAATGATATTATTATTTGATTAGAAACAGCCCACATGTTTTGATAAAACTGAAAGCAACTCTCATTAAGTTCTTCAGTGTGCAAAAAGAAACTGAATAAATAAATTAGACAGGGTGCGTAGCGTTTGTAAAAAGTACTTAAAGGTGCTTTTTTGTGGATTTCGTTTTTAAAAGCTTTTAAAGGTGCTTTTTTTCCGAATAATTTTTTTNGTATTAAAATTATTTTTTGGTCTCGAAATGGGTTTCTTATAATAATTCCTGTCATTCACTCACTCATAGAGATTCAGATCAATGATATTATTATTTGATTAGAAACAGCCCACATGTTTTGATAAAACTGAAAACAACTCTCATTAAGTTCTTCAGTGTGCAAAAAGAAACTGAATAAATAAATTAGATGAGAGTTAAGATGACACTCTTATTCCCTCCTTTAAATTTATGAAGTTTGTTTTCTAAAAGTGAATAAGTTTTTTTAATTTCCTGTAATTGGAGAGTTAAAAAATCTATAATGTTATTTTAATTTTAATAAACTTTAAGCAAATAATGCTTATTTTCTTACTTTTCTTTCTTTCATTATGAGAAACTGGTACTTTTATGATCTATGAAGGTAATTTATTTTTTAAAACTATTTTGATGAGTGTTCTAATTTCCTCTTATGAGATACTTTAAGAATATATATTTTATTTTATTTATGGATATAAATTTCAAAAGCAAATGATTTTTTCTCATTTCCTGTGAGAAAATGGCACTTTTGTGAGATTGTTTCGAATGTTTTTAAAGACAAGTTTTAAAAAAAAAAAAATTTAAAGAACGCTTCACTTTTTTTATTTTGTAAAGCAATTAAGGAGTGAACTGTTCTTAAATATATTAAAACTATTATTTTAAATTTGTTTATAACTAAAAATATTATTCCTACACCATATTATCGTTCCCTCTCTTTAATAAAAATTAATAACAATATTAGGGTTTTTTTTTTTTTAATATTAACCATGGCTTTTATGTTTTTCTTGTTCAGAACCCTCTCCTGTATCTTATTGCTGAAAATCAAAATTTCTGACAAAAAAGAAAAATTCTTGATGTCTTTACTTGAAAATTGCCTATTGGTAAAGAATGACCCTTCTAAGAATAATTTTTCTCCCTTTTTTTATTAAAATTTTCCATTGCTTAATGCTGCTACTCGAGCCATGAAAGCGAATGCATCATTTTTGGTCTTTGAAGACTCCAACATCAATTTTAGGTTCTTAACTTAGATCAGTACTTCACACTTTTTAATCCAATAATATTAATCTTTTGTGCAGTAGTTTTCCTAACGTTTTCCCATTTGTGCTACAGTTTACCATTAAAAATATTTATTGTATTAAATTCGAATCTCCGTGTTATTTTCTGCTGATATTTTTGTACACAGCCTATCGTCAACCAATAATTCTTAATATCGACTTGATTAAAAATTTTATTGTCTTTAAAAAAAAAACTGAAGATAGTCAAATTTATGTGTTTACTAGGACTCAAAAATAGGAGCACCTTTTTCATGAAGTTGAATATATAATTCCACTTTAGTCTCTTGGTTTCTTCAATTATTTGAGTTATTCTTCAAAAAAAAATTTAAATGGTTGTAAGATTTCTCTATTATAAAGTTGTTTTTATCATTTTTCTAGTTTTAATCTTCAGTTTAATTCTAGATTTTAAAAGGTAAAATGAGATTTTAGAATAATTAAAATAAGAAAAGGGTGTACCATATTGTATATATTTTGAAGTTTATTGAATGTGAAGGTATCTTTTAAGTGTTATAATTACTTGAATAATCAGTGTTATTGTTTTTCAGATTTTAAAGTTTGCTATGTTCAGAGTTCAAGAAAATGATGATGGCTCAACAGTTGTATATTGTAGCACAAGTGGAAAGCAGATATTTGTTCTTCAACCTGACCATCAGCGGGTAATCACAATAAACAAATCACATACCCCTCTTTGATAATTTTTGAATGACCACAAACTAGATATTTAATTATGTTTAGTATATAGTCTTTATCAATAGATGTTCAGTGAAACTTCCTGTTATGGACACTTCTGCAGAACAGACGCCTCTCAATATGGACATATTTTTACTTCCCCACGAGTCTTCTATGAATAACTTATTATGTACATTCTCCACAAAGCAGACACTTCCATAACTGGATGCGGACACTCATTTTCGCCCTGAAACGTTATTTTCTATCTCTTCAAACCAGATACTATTTTTTTCTAAATTTGAAAAAGATAAAAACTAATGAAATTGCAAGGGGGAAAAAAATTCAACTTTTCACTTTCTTTTAAGCATATAAATTTTTTGCCTTATCCATAACTAAAAATATTGTTAAGCTATTTCACTACTAAAGAATCAATCTTTCTCTTGTCACCTTGCTTTCTCTTTGCAAAGAGAAAATGATACTGTTCATTAGGACAGTGGCATCTTTTTTATCTGGACGACACAGGTTATGAACCACCACAAGCTGAAATGACGTCTTAAATGTTCTCAATGCTTCTTCCTCACTGAATATTTCTTTCATTTTCTTATCAATTTGAGGACTGTATTTAACACAGCTGGGGTAAAAAAAGAGAACAGAAATATAATCTTTAAAGTGTTCATATAAATGAAACATTTGTTCAGAAACTCAAGTGTTCGCATTCAATGCAGATAATTAATTGTGAGTATATCAACTCTATAGGTCCTTATGCCTTAGAGATAAGCATAGATTTCTTTTCTCTTTTTTTTCTGGAATCACGGGAGATTTACTTTCAAGAAGGTATTAACTGCATTTCCTATCAAGCGATGGGTAGGTGTTGGGGTGTAAACCTCATAATTGGAACCGACTGAGGACTAAAAGCTCCTAATCGTTATCATATGACTAACTTGAATATCTGTGTTAATAAGAAAATTATATTCATTTATCTGTAGCTACATCTAGAATTATGTATTTATATCAAATTTTTCATGTATTTTTTTTATACAGAAAAAATACATTTTTTAAAGTTGAAATAAATGACCTTCAGATAGAATATTTAATTATTTTTACATCATTGAAAATGTTCTAAAAACAATTTACTGTGTTGAATTTCTTTATTAGGGTACCCTTCCCATAAATGGACAACTCTCCTAAAAGGATAATTTTTTTAAGGGTGTCGGCTTAGCAGAGGTTTCACTGTATTGCATCAAAATCACACACAATTTTGTCTGTGATAAATTGTGCTTATGACAAAGTTGTATTGCAAGTGGGTGGGGGGGATGTTTTTAAAACACTGAGGTCATTTAAAGCAGAGAAAGGGTTGCAATAATCTTCTAAAACCATATATGTATTAAAATTTCTCATACACTAAGGGATGATATTTAAATTTAATGAATAGTCTTTTACACCAGCGTTATTTCTTCAATATCTAATACCAGTTGATAATAATACCAGAATAAATGCGGTTCTTAGGTTAAAATGGTTTTTTATGATTCGCTCTTCTTAATCTATAATTATCATCAGATGAAGTTCAAAAACTTTTTATTTCTCACCTACATATTAAATTTGCGACTTAGAGTGTGAACAGTTTGACTACATTTTTTTTAAAGGTTATAAGATGTATTAAGGGTGGTCATGAAGGAGCAACCCCAATCTATATTGTCATTTTGAATTGAATGAGACCTATCCCGAGACGATCAGACTAATAGCTTAAAAGTAAAAAGCGTTTTATATACAAAAAATATGACATCGTACTATTTAAACTAATGATCCGTTTATGCCTTCTTTTTTTATCTGATTACATTGTGTATAAGTTCATAATTTCTCGCTATTGTAAAATATTTTTAACATTCTTTTAGAGAATACCAGAAAGGACCACCAACGTGAGAAGACCTATAAATGTTGTGGGACCCTCTCGCCACTCACATTCACTCAACACTTTAGATAATGGTAAGAGTCACTTATCCATATTTATAGCATCTTAAAAGAGTCCATTCTTTAGAATAAATATTAGGGAAAATATCTATGATTGGTAGATGGTTTTGAAAGAAATGTGCGAATAACTTTTAAGGGTGGTCATAATGAAATACCATATTGATCTGGCTAAAAATTTAGTATTTTTTGCATTATAATTATTTTAGTTAATAGAATTCAGATGTCATAGTAATACAACTGTTATGAAATTTATTATTATTAGCCTGATTTATTATTATTATTAGACCATAATGCTTGTTAGTATTTATGTTAGTTTTTTCCTTATAGAAACTACGCAAGGTTACGCATCTGATCAAGATAAAGATTCTAATGACAGGTAATTCTGTTCAAATGAAATTCAAAATAGAGATGCATAAATAAAAACTGATGTATTTTTTAAAATCTTTCTATCTTGTGTACTTCTGGGAAAAGTTGTCGAGAACATATAGATGACATGAAAAATTAACTCGAGACACCAACTTTAAAATAATTGTGCAAATTTTTTTAACCTGGGTTAAATTTTGTAATGTTAAAAAAAAAGTGAGTTCTGGACATTTGCATATAAACAGTTTTGAATTTTTTTTAAAAAGATGTATTCATGATTGAAAATATTTTATCCATGTTAAGGAATCTCTTTCTTTTTCTTTATTCCTTTAATCTACTATTTTTCATCTAATAAAATATGAAGTACAGCTGTATAATAATTTAATTTGCTTGTTGAGCTTTTTAGAATAAAATTTAAGTTTAACTTATCTTCTAATATTAACAGTATATGCTATTATAGATTTAATAATAAAGTTATGTACCATATATTAAAATTGTATATTAATAATATACCATGTTATATACTAAAAAGAATTAAACCCACCTGGATTGGACTTTTTTTAAAAACCCTTTTTTTTTTTTCTTCTTCTTCCTAGCTCTGTTTTATAAAACAAATTGGTCTTAATTGCAACTTGTTAAAATTTAATGTAATTTGCATAAATGGAAGTTAGAAGAAATAAATGTCCACAGACTTATATGTTCCAAATTAATTTCAAATAGTCACTGTCTAATAGATATGAAACTTCTATTTAACTACACAAATATGTATAAGCTTAAAATTACATGTTAAATTATACCTTTAATGCAAAATTTTTATTAAATATATATTTTCATTATTTTGTATTTAATTGGGTCAAAATAAGTAAAAAATATGATATTTAGCAGGTTTCTTTTACTGTGTTAAAGGTAAAATATCCTATCCTGGGTCACTTCCAAACAATTTACAGTTATGTAGAGAAACAGTTATTTATCATTAAAATTTATTTTATTTACAAAATCAATTATTGATATGTTTTTTGTTTTTTTTTAATAAGAGTTTTAAAAAAAAATCAAACTACTTTTTTCATATTTTAATATGAATTCAATACTATTTTTTACTAACTATTAGACTGTTTTTTTACATTTAAAAAAATACCAAAAAGACATCTAAAAAAATCCCTTTTCTATAGTGTTTGTCACAAACACTTTTTTTAATGATGATCAAAATTTGTTGTAACATTTCTCTTTGAAAAGTCCCATATCCTTTAATCTTTGGTGCCAATTTCTTAATAAGGCCCATAGCTTACCAAACTGCCAAAAATTAAGGAAATCATTATCAAATTAATCTGAAATAGTAAACCTTAATCCTGAAAATGGATCTGTTCATTGTAATTTTTGTGATAAAAAGGGTCACTTTGTGATGCAGTGCAGAGTACTTTAAAGCACTTTTAGATGATAATAGTCATGAGGGTCAAACTCAGTTTGTTACACTAAGATATCTCCATGACAATTTTCAAGAGATGGTTTCAGAATTCCCAAACCAGATACAACATCAAATAATGATTTTCAAAATTGTCAGTGAAATCCAAGATTTTATTAGCAGCAACTTTTTTAGAAGTCACGAACAAAATATTTTTGAAACTGTGCTAAAACAATTTCATTTAGAGAATTTGAACTAAATCGGATGATTCTAGATCTTAGATCGGCCTTCACTCAAAAATCACTTTCTCATTGGCTCTCAAACATTTAAATTTATTCAGGATCAAGTGTTTCATTTATGTCCATAATGTAAATGAATCTAGTAAAACAAGATTATTGTTATGTAATGTGAAAATTTGCTCTGCAAATTCTGAACTAGCATTTTTATTTTAAGCTGAGGTATCTTTCAAAATTTATAAACAACATTTTAAAACACTTTTTTAACTTCATTGCACAATATGTTTGATGCCATGATTTCATAACAAAACACAATGAAAGAAAATACTGTTAATTCATTTCTTTCTGTACGTAAAATGTTAATTTTGTCAAACTGCCTGCCTAGTGTGTGTATTCTAATGGATAACACTGCATCTATAAAATAGTACTTAATGCATTATAATGGAAGGTTCACTGGAATGGGAAGAAGCACTGGCTGTAGTATAAAAATATCAATGTTTCAATAAAAACAATCCTTTTGAGCACTTCACCATCATCAGACGAGAGTTAAAATGTGATTCTATTTAAAGCAAAAGCCTAGAAAAGCCCTTTTTAACATGGAGAGTAATGAATTTTTGAAGCTTCTAATGCCCTGTCATTTAATTGAATTAATATATTTCCCAAGTTTTAAGTAATTGTGTGTTTGATCTTTTTATAGATAATTTAATTTAACATTGCATAGATGGCGTTGATTCTATAATAAATATTGATTTATTTCAGCGATAGCAAAGACGCTTTTCCAACTTTCTTTGATGAAGAGTCAGAAGATTATTTCAATGAGAGTGTTACAGACGTAGAGTTTGCAAGGTGCTTAAATTTGGTGCCTAAAAAAACATTTGAAAATGAAGCATTGAATGAGCTACTGAAGGAGTTTCCTTTGAGGTTGCACTCTAGGAATAGAATATGTCGATCAAAAGACGATTCCTTTGAAGAACAGAAATATCAAAAGCTGCCAGATGATCTGCCTTTAACTTCAAATTTAGGTGTGAAGCTCCTGAAGTTGAATGAAAATCGCAACTTCCTTACAGAACAAAAACTGTCCCTTTCATTAAAGAAATGTGATGCCTTTTGTCGTTTCCCTTTCAATTCTCCCAACCCAGTGGAGTGCAATTTTCCGAAACTGCGATGTAGAGAAAAGAAGTCTTATCCTACTTTCATCTCAAAGGCTTCAAAGCAGGAGGCGACTCATGTTTATTCCTATGGAAGGAGGCAAAGGTTAGAAAGGATGAAGACATTAAAAACAGGTACACATTTTATTGAATCAATTCATTTGGATGTCACGACCTACTATATTTCCCTAAAGGAAAAGAAGTCCCTATTACTGAAATATTTCGTTTCTGATTATTGTTATTATTGAGTTGGTTAGAAAGTAATTTTTCACTCTGATATAATAAAACTCGATTATTTTTTTTCTGTACAAGTAGTAAAATTCTAATGAATGCCAGATTTTTGGTAATTTCATAATCCTGCACTCACTAGTCTTTTAACAGCAAAAACCTCAATTTTAGGTCATCATTATAACTGACATTTTTGCTATTCAGAAAATTTTGTGTTTTTTTAAATAAAATAAAATCTGATGGTGTAAGGTGGTGATTGAAAATCTCAAAGAAATTTTATTCTTATTACACCCGACCCAATTGTTCCACTCCATAACCTTGTAATTTTGAACCCAATCCATAAGACAAGGGAACTTCTGGATCAAGTATTGGGAGAAATTTGCCTCGTGGAGAACTTTTTGATTAAACTAACCCACATTTTGATGAACCTGCAATGGTTAGCTTGATGACAAAGGGACTCTTAACAAGTGATCCGTCTACCCCTGAGGATATTTCACCTCGGCACTGTGGTCAATGCAAACTGGCTGCACATTTGTATAGACCAGCCATCGATGGGATTCGAACCTGGTCGGCTCGTCGGAAGGTGAACACTCTCTCACCCGAGCCGTCACTGCTCGATTTCAGAAGAATTGTGCTTCAACGCGAGTATGCCTCACAAATCTTTAGCAACACCTACAAAATTATTAGGTATAAGTTGCAAAGTAGTGCCCATACAGCCCCTAGGATTCACAATCATTTTTAGATGATGAAAGTCATAACACTGACCTCCAATCGCACAAGGTCTTGGCTAATAAGGACCAGAAGTTCTTTGAATGTGGGATTATAAAATTACTTGAAAGAGGAGCAAGAGGTCATGAAACATAATAAAATAGTTTTTTTTTTTTTCACTCAGAAAAAAATTTGTTTTATTTCACACTTAAGAACCAAAAAGCCAACCCAACAGCTTTATATTCCTGATTTTTGTATGTTCAGAACATCCCATTTTTTATGGATTAAAATAATTCGGGTTTTAAAATAACAAATTTGAAGAACCTAAAGATTTGATCCAACATCTACTTAATTCATGATCTTATTAAAAATCTGTTTACCAGTTATATTTATGATTCAAGTTTAGTTATTCGTAGAATTCATTGCTTCAAACTTTTTGTACATTTAATCATTTTACATTAAATAAATTGAATTACATTATCAAATTTTCATGGTGGTGAATTTCAGGGCTTATTGCAAATTGCAGGTTCCAAGGTTGAGTTTTGTCATTTCATAATTGTATACTCTTTCACATCATCTCCTACCTTCTGAAATATCTTGAATTTTTGCTGATTACAAGGACCAACTAAACATTAAAACAATATCTCAGTTTTCCTTTCTTAATTATTTCTTCGCCAGTGTGAAGCACCGAAAACATTCTCTCACTGTTCTAATTATAAATTAGAACCATGAAGAGTTTATTCACTAATAGAGTATTATTTTCTGGGTCCAGAGCAGTCAACAATCACAGAGCTTCATGATATTTTCTTGATTTAATAAGAATTTATTATGATTTTATTAACTTTTTAATGTACACTACTTATTTTGCCAGATTTCTTATAAAAAATTTCAGTAATCTTTGAATTTTTTATGAAAAAAAAAGTCATTCTTTTTAGATGCAAGCTTTTTAAAGTATGTGCTAGAACCATGAAGATGGAGTTTATTTTTTTAAATCCTTAAAAAATGTAGTAAAAAAAATCTTATGTGATTCAGATTTATCATTTCTAAAAAATTTAATTCATCATTTGATTTAATGACTATTGAAATTATAAGTTCTAGATCTCTCATTTGTTAATGAATGTAAGGACATATATTACAAGGGGTGATCAAATGAAAAGGTACGAAACGACGTAAAAACGTAACAGTTAAATATTTGCATATTCCGCTATGGGAGAACGTAGCGAGACATCTCGGGATGCGATTGGAGTCTCTGACTAGGATCGGAGCATGCGCTGGTGCCCGCATGAGCAGGAGAGAGCAGAGGCTCTTATCAAAAGCGGCGTCCGAATGATGCGGCAGTCCGTATGAGGACTGGATGGCGTTCGCGTTGCAAAATTCGACGATTGAGGAGCAGCGAGGCGTTATCCGATTTCCTCGAGCACAGAAAAACCATTAAGTCCGATGTGTACTGTGAGACACTCTGACGCCTACGCAGGTCCATCAAGAACAAAAGACCGGGGCTGCTCACGGAGGGTGTGGTTCTGCTCCATGATAAAGCGCGTCCACACGTCGCCAGTCTCACACACATGGAACTGGCCAAGTTCAAGTGGGAGACGTTGGACCATCCGCCCTACAATCCGGACTAGTCGCCCTGCGATTTCCATGTGTTTGGTCCACCTGAAAGGGAAGCTCTTCAACTCGGACGACATACTCAAGGACGCTGTGAAGGACTGGGTCTCGTCAAGACCACAGGAATTCTGGGAACAAGGAATCCTGCGGCTTGTTCATCAGTGGGATCGCTGTGCACAGGCCTATGGTGTATATTTTGAATAAAGTCTACATTTGCACCCACCGTGTCGTTTCGTACCTTTTCATTTGATCACCCCTTGTACATTACTTCTGACAAAATGTTTAGCTGCAATTCTCCCTGAATTTTAATTACCAAATTATTGAAACTTTTTTTAGAACCAAATTGCAATTTTTTAGAAAATAATAAAAGGCAATTCTCTAATTTACATTTATAATATCAATTAATTTAGGTTTTCTAAGTTTGCTTTATTCTCTACACATCTTTATCAATTCATATAAGCAAAAATATTAACATTATAAAGGTTTGTGTTAAGTTTATAATATTATAGGAAGTTTAAAAAAAACTTTTAAGTTGAAGTGAAAATATATTATCATTTAATTATGTAGCTCAAAATACAATTGGTGGACAGTTCCACAGTTATAAACTCATGTTAATGTGACTGCAATTTTTAATTAAAAGAAGTAATTATTTATTTAAAGTAATAAAATCTGATATTTTTGCTAGAAATAAGTTATTTTATCATGATTATATAGTCTTTTGAAATGTGTTAATTTTATGAATATAGGTGATGAGCAATAGAAAGAAAAAAAGTAATTGATGCTCATAGCTTAATTTTTTATTTATTTTAGTGTTTAAAAGGTGCTTTAAAAAATGTTGGCTACTAACCGTACAACCTTTTTGTACAAGTGTTTTTTTTCCCCTGCTCAGACCCCTATTTTTATTTGTTTTATAATTTAAGAGTCTCAGTTTTTTAAAAAAAGAGCTCCCTTCATTGTTATAAATTTCTTTGTGTTTTTTTTTTGTTTTTTTTTGTTTGTTTGTTTTGTAATACTTTGATTAATAATATCCCTGTGACAGAATTTTTTTGAGCTATCTGCCGCGAAACTCTCTATCACTAATATCTTTCTGCAAGATACTTTTAATAATAAACATATATCTGTACTAATTTAAAATAACAAAATCGCTGTGTTTGCAGAAAAAAAACTATTATAATTTTTTTTAATTTAACATGTAATAATTTTTTATTTTAATATTATGGGTGATATTCTCGCCTTTTGTTTGGGGGGACAAACGAACTAAATTATTTAATTCTTCTCATTTTGTAAATAATCATCACAGTAAAAAAATACTTTAAAATCATGAAATCTGTTGCCGAAAAAAAAAGATCGACGTAATCACTCGAATCGAACTCCTCATAAAGGGGTTAATCAAATGTGTATTTCGTTTCGAGATTAGGTTGTTGTAATAATATCGTATAAAAAATATCGGATTTAAAATTTATGGTGAAATCAATAGCAATAACTGCTAAAAATTCGATAGAATCATTGCCTTAAAAGTAAACACTCAAATGCACGATTCCAATTTTCTATATTGTTTAAAATGTCCAATTTTCTATATTGTTTGAAATGCATCGGGATATTTTAAAACCACGTGATAATCAATATCGATAACTGCCAAAAATTCAATCGAAACATTACATCGATTTACGATACTGTCTACGTAAATTTAGCGTGTCAAAAAGTGATTATCGAAATGCATGATTCAAATATTACATGTAAATTTCTGTAAAAAAGAAAACTAATTTTTTCCCCAGGCACTTTTTTTCTGCAAGATCTTCGCAGCGTTCTGCGACAATGTCACTGTGATTCTGCCACGGGGAATAATATTATCGTGTATGTTAATGTGTTATGCATTGAAGTACGGAATTTATCATCTTGTGAAAGTCAATAATTTTGATTCTATTATAGTACATATTATTTTAATGATTCAATCAGATTGCATGAATCTCATTGTGTGATAAATAACATATTCTTATTATCTAGGTCTCGATAAAGAAAGTAGAAGACTGTTTCGCATATGCAATTCAAAAAAATGTTATGTTGAAGTGAATAGACTAGATGAAGATGAAATTCAGTATTGGCTTTCAAAGAAAACTGAGCCCATTCTCATCACACTTGATGATAGTGATGATGAGCTGCCCTCACTAAAAAATAACTTAAATATCAATGGAGTGAAGGTGACGGATGTCACTAAAATTGCTCATCACCCAAATGAAATCAAAAACAAAGATGTCATTCCAAACAAAAATTTAGCTGAATCTGTTTTGCATTCTTTGCTTGCAACTTCTTCGGGACTGGTTCGATTGCCGAAAAACCCAATAAAACATTTCAACTTGGATAAAGGTTGTAGAAATGTGAAAGATGAAATTCTGGCCGAATCTAAGGGTTGCCGAGATTGCTATGTCCGGTTGAGGGATGTGTCTAAATTTCTTTATAAACTTAGAAATGAATATTACGTGAAATTTACTAAGATTAGTGTTCCTTTTTATGCAGATTACCTTGCATCTGTGTCACTGGTAAAACGGTTGCAAAGTAGTGGCAAATCGGAAAAACCGATGCGTCTCGGTAACGGACTAGTTATTTCGGCAGTGGCTCTGGAGAATACTGTAAAAAAAGATGAGATAACTCTTTTTCCTACATCTAGAAATAAAACATGGGTGCCAGTTTCTTCAAATAAAGTCCCAATGCCAGATTCTAAAAACAGAGCTTTGGTGCCAGCATCACAATTTGCCCCTTATGTTCCAAGAACTGAAAACTCTAAAATTGAAGGTCTTAAAATTATCCCATATATTGACTTAACCTTGGATAGTTCCCCAGAAAAGGACTCCAATCCTATTCCCACAGTGCCTAAGCATCAGCATGTAGCACGCCAGTTTCTTTTTCGTTGTTACGGCTGTGGCTACAAACAAATCTTTTCCAACCAGTCTTCTTCGAGTTCCAAAGCGGCTGCAAGCCTGGTCAAGAATGTCATCAACGAGCACATGCAAAAATTCCATTCGGTTGACGAACCCGAGGCTTACCTCTCTTCGTATTTGGACACTTTGCGAAACTGTAGCATCATTGAAGCTTTTCCAGGGTACAAAGGGAATTGAAAACTTTTCGATTTATAAGTGCTTCGTCTGATCTTCTGCACTATTCCAACCATTGCAGGGATGTCTGATCTGCGTGTTCAGATTTTAGCTTCAGCAACTGAAATAATAAAAATTGCAACAGTTTGTAAGTTGTATAAAAGGTGGAAGCTAATTTCAGCATACTTGTAAGAAAAGTGTTATTTTAATGCAACAATTTTAACCAGCATCTTTTATTCATTGAAGCAAATACTGAGAATGAAGCTCTTCTCTAAAAAATTATCAGAATGTTAACCTTTTGTATAATTTTAAGTTAATGTAGGTAATGTTAATATTCAATTTTATGTATAAAAAACAACAAATTTTTTTTGTCTTAATTTATATTTAAGTGCAATGAATCTGATCCTAGATGGCAGCAGAGTCAAGTTCTCTGCAGGTACAAATCATAGAAAAAATATAGCTGTTCTATTTAAATTAATTCAATCATGCCATGTTTCATTTTTTTTAAAAACATTTTATATTTTGTTTTTGAAAAGCAAATTTAATATTGTATACTTCATTATTGATGATAGTGTTCTTATTTCAAAGAAAATTAAAATAAAAGTGGCAGAAGAATTTAATAATTTGAAAGAAATAGTTAACCATTTTTTTTTATGGGTGCAGAAAAATCACCTGTTTTTATATGGTTTTTGAGTGACTTGTTTATTAATTGTATTCTTTTTTTATTTATTATTTTAAATCTCTATTTTGTATATATGTATTTATTGAAAAATTAAATTGCCAAGATTTAAGATCTTATTTCTTTTTTTAAGAACAAATACTTCAGTGATAAAGTTGTTAAAAAATTATTTATTTCAACTTTTAATGAAATAATGTATAGTTATAATATATTAATATTAAATTTTATTGGCCTGTTTGAGATCAGGTTTAGTTCTATTTCAGAAATGTGATCTAAATAAATAAATTTTTAAAAAAAAGTTATATACCATGATATATTTTTCAAGGATGTACTTAAGAAGAAAAAAGTCTGACTTCAGAAAAGCATTGATTGTCAATTCCAATATTTTATTCCTAGTCTTCACAATGTGCAATACTTCCTTCTATCTCTCTCTCTCTCTGTTTCTCATTGAATAATATGAAGGAGCTGTTTAAATATTATGAAAGCACAAAAGCTGGGGAAGGAAAAACAATTAAAGTGTTAATTTTTTTTCACACTAGAAAATGTTTCAAGCTCTGATATCTGAAAATCATTACAAAAATATACATGTTCTTATTCTAAAAATGTTCTAATTTCATGAAACTGGTTTTAAGTACTAATTATAAATAATAAAAAAAATCAATTCATATATGGTTCATTATAGTGTTTCTTATTGACTTTTGGAGTTCTTAAAGATTGTTCTTTAAAAATTCTTTGTTCCTGTAAAATAATGCTTTTTATGTTACTTTCATTACTATTTTGTGTTTGCGACAGTTATATAGTCGATGTAATCCGTCTGGCCTAACAAAAAAGAGCTTTTAAACGAGAGGTCGCTAAATCATGAGTACATAAAATGTTTACAAATATTTGTTTATGTTACATAGATACTAGACTTATTTTTCACATTAAAAAGAATTAGGAAACTAGTATGTAATGAAATGACAATAATGCAGTTTTTTTTTTATGTCAATTCAAAAATGTAAAAATCTTGTCATATTAGCAATTTTTTTAACAAGTTAGATGATTTTTTTTCAAATATCGAAACCATTTGTCCATTTTTAAGTTCAGTCAATATTTTCAACTGAATATATATAGTTCAAATTAAGATTCAGTTTCAAGGCAATCAAATTGTGGCATTTTTATTTTACTTACCCTCGAAGAACACCTCTACAATATTCTATTCTATTAGTCCTATTCTAGGTCTATTTTTAAGGAAGTTTTTTTGCAAACTAATTAAGACATTTTGAAAAATTGATTAATAAAATTGAATTTTAAGTGACGCCCAGCAAAATAAAGTTATAAAAATGATTCTCAGCAGAAAACAAAGTAAAAAACAAGTTGGAAGCTTGCATTTTTGATATTTAAACTGCTCCTGAAATGTTTTACAATGAAACAAATACTTTTTTTTCCCTTTTAACATTTTTATCTTGTTAAAAAATAGTAACAGTACTTGTGGAGGCTGGAAGTTAAATGTTTTATCTAAAACAGTTTTCATGTTTTTAAAAATAATTTCAATAGCAAAATAAATATTACTAAAAAAATATTGATAAAGTTGGGGGGTTTTTTTTCTGTCAAAATCAATTTTTAAAAAAAAAAAAAAAAAAAAAAAGTAGATGTTCAGATGAATCATGAATCTTAGTTTTACCCAGATAAGATTTTTTTCAGTTTCTTATACAAGTTATGAAAATACGTCACATTGATTTTGTTAAATTTGTTCCCGTCATTTACTTAACAGTCTGTTGTAAAATAGAATTTTAAGTGCAAGTTACATTCATTGCTTTTTTTAAATAAAGGAAGCAAAAGAAAGAAAATAGCCAGTCATACCTCAATAAAATTATTATCTGTTCAGTTGATTACTAAAAATAATCTTTGCAGTGATTGTTCCATTTATAAAATAATTACTAAATATTAATGATAAATAGTTGAAGATTAAGTGTTGATTAAGATTATTAATCAATTGAATAATGATGTCATCTTGCACTTATTTTTATAAATGTCGTGAAAAGAAAATCTGATTTTTGCTCTTTGAGTGTCATTCTTTTACTTAAATGCAAATATTTAGTCTTAATATAATAAAAATCTTGTTTTGAAAAAAGCGTGTATTTGTGAAAGTTTCTAGATTAGTGCATGTTGTAGAATTTTTATATACAGTTGAACACATTTTCTTTTCACTCACTTTGTAATTGTTTGCATGTTAGTTTTATTGATATTTTTATATGCTGTTGTGATTGAGCCAAAGAGTTATGTTTCTTTGTACATATTCTATTTTAGAGTGAACAGAAGAACTCTCGATTATTCAGATTTTAAACCATATTGTTATGGGGAAAAAAAATTTATTGTAAATGCATTTTAAAGTGGTAGTATCTTTAAAAAAATTTTTTATAGATATCACCTTGATTTGTGGAATAGTTTAAGAAGATATTTTCATTTACTATTTATGATTTTTTTTATTTATTTACTTTGGAATTGCTTTGATTTGGATTTATTGCACACTAAAAAAATTTGAGGGAGTTTCAAGTACTATTGACATTTGTAATGTAAAAGGAAAAACCGAAAATTTCTAGCATAAACTTATAAATAGCCGATCAAATTTAGTGTGGTATAAAAATCTGAAATACAATTATTTCCCCTTTTTAGACTTTTAACTGTAGAGTAAAGATGCAAGTTTTTTTTCTATTGCCTGCTCTGTGGAGTGTGCTAAAAGACCATTTTAACAATTTAAAAGGAGGAGAAAAAATGCTTTATTACTGTGTTTTTGCCTGACAAATTTTCTTGACTGTAAACGTTTGTAATTAAGACATATCCCTTGTTTTCTACATCAAGTTTTTAGTCAAGAATTCCTTTTATTTTTGTATTTTACTTTAAAGAGATTATTACATATCCTTATTCCCGGGGAACTAAATTGTAGTCCTGCAGTGTACTGATCACAAAGACATGGTTCTCGGTAGAACACTGAAGTCAAGCATCACTGGTGTCAGTTCAGTAAGTGGGTAATTGACCACTTTGATCAGCCTGCATAGGGATCGAGGATGTGCAGTATTGGTCCTCGTTAAACTTCGAGCGCGCGTCTTCGGGCTACCGAAGCAGGGGAGCCGTCTCCTCTGCAGAGGATCGAAATTGTGATGACATGTCTTCTGATCATCCTCTGGGATGTTTTCCAGACTGCCGTCAATAGCCCATTGTGCAGCTGCCGCACGACATAAATAAAATACTTGCCTAAGTTTTCACTAAATTGTATTTTAATACACTATTTATTTTATGATTTAATTAACTGAATAGTTGTTATTTTTTGTCATTAATAAAAAAATTTAGTTATGTCTCTTATATATAACTCTCTAATATATTTTCAAAACTGCCATGAATAAAATTTCATTGCAGATTGTACATCCTGTTGATGTAATGGTAAGGAACAGTCTTAAATTTCTAAGGCGTGCAGAGCTTATTCATCAAATTTAGCCAAGGGTCTAATTTTTTTTAAATTTATTTATTAGCGCTATTTGGATTTTATTTCGATTTGGTTCATTCAAAGAAAAAAATATTTTATCTAAATCAAGATATTCAATTTTAAAATTGATAGTTCACACATTTTAAAAAAAAAATTTTTCTTTACAAAGTAGAGGTTGTCATTACCTTCATTTCCAAAATTCCATCATTCCCAAAAAAGAGTAAATGTATTAGAATTTTCCATTTGCACAGTTTTATCATTTAATTACATTGGATAGCTTCTTTTGGCTCTATTTAGACACATCAAAAGGGGCCATTCAAATATTACATAAGCTAAAATATAGAGGGCAAAGGTTTAACTTATTTTGATAAACAGGGCAGAGGTGGATAAACTTATTTTTGCTGAAAAAGGGAAAGGGGAGGTCTGAACAATTCTTAAGTTATTAAAATCCTTTTATTTTAATTTTTTTTGTAAAAAGCAAACTAAAAATGTGAATGGCTGGGCGCAAGCTTCTTGATTAGATAACCTCGAAAAAATGACTTGTCACTAAAAGGGGTAAAAAAAAGCCAATTTCTTTTTAAAAATTGAATATTTATATAAATAAGCAGAAATTATTCTATTGTAGAAATGTATCATTTCCAATAAAATGTTCATAATTTTTTCTGTAAAAATATTTAAATTTTAATAACCTAAAGATTCATTATTGAATTTGTATGAGGGGTTCTTATTTTATACTTCATAAAATTTTTAGTTTTAGCGGTCCCTTTCTAGCCTTCTGCTCTGATTAAAGAACGTAACTTTTTTTATAAATTTGTTTTTATCACAAATTTTCTTGTATTCTACTATAATATTTAAATTGAAGAGTATAGAAACTATAAAATTATTATTCAATGATTTTTCTTTCCTATCCTTGACTGCAATTGCTGTCATAGGTTTGAATATTATGAACAATGTTGTACATATATAAATAATATGTTTTATTATGTGTGTGCTTTACTGTTATTTATTCATATTATTAAGTATTTTGAACTACTTAATAGATTAGTAGTGTGTTAATTGCGTTGGAAAATAAAGATTTTGGGAAAAATTTTCATCCATGTAAATATCTATATAAATAGTAGGTTTGTTTGATACAAGATATGTCTTTATTATGCCAGAGAAGGATGAAAACTATATTTTTGCTTTTATTCATAAATATCCTTGTAATAAATATTTATTTGAACCTCTTCAATAAAATGTTTTCAATTTTAACATGTTCGTTTTGTTTAATGGCTGACCTACAAGATGCAGATTTTCTTCAATTTTTATTAATCAAAATGGAGAAAGTTGCTCCCACTCAATAACATATTGGATAATCAAATAACCTGCGTATACAAATAAAATTTAATGGAACCAAATTATTTTATATGAAAATCTTGTTATAGTTTATATGAAATACAAATTTCATTTCAAGGATTATATATGGGTTAATTGCATAAAAACCAGGAGAAAAAAACTTTTTTTTAAAGAGAAATGTTTCACCATTCTGTTTTTAAGTTAAGATAAATGAGTGGGTTATTTAAGGGATTACTTACCTATTTCCTGTTCCAAAATATCTGTATGGATATTTTAAGAATTAATTAAATCATGTTATATAGTATGGTTTTAGCTTTCTGTTACACTTCCCATAATTTTTAGAATGTGGGAAGGTAAGAAGTGGCGAAATGCAAAATATTAAATTTCGCTAGATAAAATTTTTACGCCCCTTCCCATCAAAATCACAGCTTCTGTCTCCTATTTCTGGGTTAGACCCATTCCAAAGTAATGCACCAACAACGTTTAAATATATCCATCTCTTATTTCCGGAATTTTTAATGGCTGCACCAGGCTATTTTTTATGTAAGTGGAAATTTTTGCATCTCGTGCTTCGAAATTAATCATACAAGAAAAAATTACTAATATTTATTTACATCCTGCGTAGTTTTAAGAAATATTCTTAACTTCACCTAAAAAAATGACATTTTTAAAATTTCAAGCTAAAAGAATTTCCAAAAATTAATACATAAATTGCACATATACCTTTTTAATTTTATTTTTTTTCTTAAATAAAAAAATATAGACACTTTTATAGCCGTTTTCTCGAAAATAATAATCGTTATGGGGTTAAAATGTAGATTTTATAATACGCGAATTTGTTATATCAAGCACAACTGAAAATTACTGAAACATAATTTATTAATTAAGTCGATTAGTGTATATGTTATTTGTGTCATAGAACCAAAATTTACAGCTTAATTTATTAAAAGTCTAGTGTTGGATAACAGATATATTTGTGTATAAGATAAAATTTGAAACAAATTGTTAAACAAAGATATTTTTCTCTAATAAATATTAATAATTCTAATAAAAATTTAACCAAGTTGAGGAAGTCTTACAAGAAATGATAAAACTAGATGTTACACTTATTTACTTTAAACCTCATTGACTACTTATTGTTACCATTTACACTAAAAAGACTGAAATACCTATATTGCCCAAAAGCAGAGTCAAAATAACTGCATTGTGAAAGAATAACTAATGTATAAAGAAATTTGCTTAAAATGAATTCTTGATATTATTTTCAGTTATATAACAAGTTATTAGTAAATATCAACAATAAAAATAATTATAAAAGTCACAAAATTCTAAGAAATTGTGTCATTATATACTTCACAGGGTGCGTAGCGTTTGTAAAAAGTACTTAAAGGTATTTTTGCAGGGGTGAGATTTTTCCGCTTTTTTCACTTTAATCTCTAAAATATCAGCGGTTTTTTTTTTTTAATCAAAAACACCAATTTTCTAAAAGTTTCACTTTTTTT